TGATCCCCAATCAGGGCACACACAAGAATCAACCAATGAATGCATCAATAAGTGATACAAATTGATCTCTCTCCCTCCCTCTCTCAAATCAATGATTTAAAAAAGGAAAGACAAGTTCTTCCTCCCAGGCAGTGCCTTCAGCTGCATGGGAATGTGGGCGAGAAGGCTCTGCAGGTGCCCGAGAGCACCCTTCCTCGCAGCGGATCCAGAAGAAACCTGCTATTCACAGTCTCACGGGTGTGTTCATGAAGCACGTGGCTCTTTCCATGGCTGCCATCACTGTCTGCGACAGGCAAAAAGGCCCTTTGCTGGGATCTGTAAACATGTATCGATGCTGATAAGGTCAGTCTTTTCCATACCTGTTCAGTCTTTCAATTGCTAGAAAAATTAGTGACCAGAAACTTTATTTTTGCTGCCATCCAACTGTACTTGCTTTAGTTCTCTTTCCTCATTTCCAGCAAAAAAATGAAAAAAAAAACCTATTAGGAATTTTTTTCCTGGGTACAGACCTGAAATCTTGGCTTTAGTCATGTTACACCGTTGCTGACAGTTCAGGTTACTAGAGTTCTTCTCAGGGTGCATTGTCAACAAGGCCAAGGACTCATCATGTCATGAAACTTCCTCTCAAGTGTTAAATTCGCTATTCACATAAATGTAAGTGCCCGAGGTGGCATTTCAGTCCCCAGAAAGGAAGACACTTATGGGCTTGATGTGATGTCTCTTACTTTCCCAGTAGCCTACTTGAGATCTGTGGTTTACCCAGGATTTATTGCCCTACAATGGAGACATCAGGTGTCACACTTTAGGTGGTAAGACCTGAGTCCCCTGAAGTTAACATACAAAGCCATTCTCGGGCGATTTAATCTCCATCAGCACTGAAACCCTCTATTTCATCGGCTCTCCCTGGGGTTCTTTTGTTGCCCACAGGCACAGCCAGCCCATGCTGCATGCACTCGGAGCAACTGCTTAATGGCCGGAGTTTTCCTGGCGCACACAGAGCTGGGTCCTTCGGCTGCACCTTCAGCGCCCGGGCATCCCGGTGCCTAATGCGAGGATGATAATTTCTCAGTCAGACCCGACCTTAGTTAATGTCTGTTCCCACTGGGCCATCTGAGAGAAGTTTTCCCCAACCCTGAGAAAGGCAGCACCAGAAGTTTCCTCTTTCATGGCTTTGCTGTTTACATGGCGTAAGCAATGGGGAGAATATATGCTCTGATCTCAACCGAGAAGTTCATCATTCAGAACTGCCTGCAATCTAGCTGAATGGAGAAGTCCTACAACTAAGGGCATAAAAAAGAAGTTACACGGAGGCTGGTAAAAGGGGCAGAAACATGGAACAGGCTGGTCCCACAACCACAGACAGTGATTAAAAATCAGGAGGGATGTCTTGGATGTGGAGGTCTCCACTGAGGAGTGAGGGATCTCACCCCACACCAGATCCCTCAGGCCAGGCTCCAGTTCCAGGAAGGGAAGTCCCCATAACTTCTGGCTGTAAAATCAGTGGAGCCCAGCCAGTATGGCTCAGTGGTTGAGCACCGACCTATGAAACAGGAGGTCATGGTTCAATTCCCAGTCCGGGCACATGCCCGGGTTGTGAGCTCA